AGGTACTGTGGCTCAGCACTTTGGGAGGCTGAGGTGGGCAGATCACCTGAGGTCGGGAGTTTGAGACCAGCTTGGTCAACATGGTGAAAACCCGTCTCTACTAAAAATACAAAAATTAGCCAGGTGTGGTGGCACGCATCAGTAGTCCCAGAGACTCAGGAGGCTGAGGCAGGAGAATCACTTGAACCCAGGAGGCAGATGCTGCAGTAAGCTGAGATCGCGCCACTGTACCCCAGCCTGGGTGACAGAGCAAGACTCTGTCTCAAACAAAAACAAAAACAAAAAACCCAGGAGCTCTGCCTTGTGTAGCATCCTCCATGCACAGGTCTTAGGATGTTTTAGGGGAAAGATTTTACAGAAAAAGAAAATCTGTCAACAGGAATTTTCCATCTAAATGAAGGCACAGCTTTTATAGCATTTCAGAGTGGCGGATATGGCCAGCCCATTGCTCTCATGATGGCTGTGGGTGGGAAGGGAGGGTATGATACTCTACACTTGGCCTGGGGAACTTCCTTACCACCCTTGCTTTATATAAACTTGGAAAGTTAAAGCAGTGTATCTGGTTTGTACAGGTAGCCAAGGGCAGGGCTGGGATGGGAACTCAGGCTGGTGTAACCACTGTACGGTGTGGGCTGTCATTGAAGGATTCTAGGAGGCAGTGATCAGGCCTTGTGGGGTCAGCTCAACTGGAGAGATGAACACAAAAGGCGAGAACCTCTGGAGCTCTCTGATATACTTCAGGGCATCAAAGCTGAGAGACTGAACTGGGACTTGCCAGCCTCTGAAACTGTGCTTTATAAACTGGTTTTAGGAGATACTCTTTGCTCTTAGTAGAATTTAAGCTGTAACATCTATTCAGAAACTTGTTTCTTATCAAATCGCTTTAGTTCAGGAATCCTTGCTCCGTAGATAACTCCCAAGTCTGCATTTGTTGTGGTCCTTCACTTCTCCTCGGAGAGTTCTCAGGAGAGAGAAGAGACCCAGGCCACAGACAGGGACAGGTGTGTAGTGTGTGAGTTACCGGGCACGGAGACGAACAGGCAGGTGACGGAGCTGGTGCTGGTTGACACATTGGAACCTGCCTTTGCCTACACAGAGGAGTCTTGTCTTTGCTTCTAGAGCCCATGACTGGCCTTCAATGTCCTTTCCCCTCAGTGATATTGGTATTTGAGCTGAAGCTTTCAGTAACGAAAGTGGAAGAGACTACTGTGTCCCAGGAACAAGAATAGGGCATCGGCAAGTATTTCTTTGGCCAACGATGACAACAGTCATAAGAGGATAAGAGAAATTCACTTCACGTCCATTAAGATGGTTATTAGCCAAACAACACAAAACATGACAGAAAATAGCAAGTGCTGGCAAGGATGTGGAGAAATGGGAATCCTTGCCCATTACTAGTGGGAATGCAAAATGTGGTGGCTACTGTGGAAAACCTTATGGCCATTGCTCAAGAAATTAAACATGGAATTATTGTATGGTCCAGCAATTCCACTTTTAGGTATCTCCCTAGAACATTGAAAGCAGGGACTAAAACCTATATTCGTCCGCCAGTGTTTATAGCAGCATTATTCACAATAGCCAATAGGAAGGAGCAACTCAAATGGTCATCAGTGAATAAATAGATAAACAATGCGTGAAATATACATATAATGAAATATGATTCAGCCTTAAAAGGAATGAAATTCTGATACATGCTACAACATGAATGAACCTTGGAAGCCTTATGCTACGTGAAATTAGCCAGACATAAGAGGACAAATACTATGTGATTCCACTTACACAAGGTACACAGCATAGTCAAATTCAGAGAGGAAGACAGCAGCATGGGTGGGGAATGGGGAGTTATTGTTTGATGGGTACAAATTTTCAATACAGGAAAGTAAAAGTTTTAGAGTTACTTTTGGAGATGGATTGTGTTGCAGAACAGTGTGAATGTGTTTAATGCTACTGAACTGTACACTCAGAAAGGATGAAAATAGTAAATTTTAAATTACGTATATTTTACCACTATTTATAAAAAGTTATTTATCCTTTTTATAATCGAGGCATCAGGCTATGGAGAAACAGCATAAATGTTTAACCTCAAGAGTTTCCGGCATGTGTTCCTTGTCTATTTGCTTATTCCCTTGTCTAAGAATTTCGTCAACAAGCATTTGCAGATTATTTTATAAATGTAAAACACACTCACGCCCACTATGTGCTGGGGGCTTGGGAGAGCCTCAAGGACTCACATTTAGCAGGGAGTGGGGTAGACAGTGGGGGAGAATGGGGAATGAAGACCTGGGTATGATGGTACCTCAGAAGGCAGAATGTCATTGGGTCTGATGAAGGTGGAAACGGGGGTTGGGAAGGGCAGGGAGTGGAGAGTAACTTCTAGGTGGGGAGGCAAGGAGATCCAGAAGGGCTTAGTGCTTACTGCATGCCAAGTGGTGTTCTCTGCACTTGATACACATGATCTCATTTTATCCTCATAACCCCTCAGTGAGGCAGGCACGTTTATTATCCTCATTTTGCAGAGGAGGAAGGAGAAGTCCAGAAAGGCTAAGACACCTGTCAAAGGTCATCATACAGCTAGTTTTAGCAAACATGCAGTTGGGTGGGTGGTGCTCAAGGATCTTTAAGTCACTGAGTTCAGCAGGAACATGGGATGATAGAAGGGAAGTGGTATAAACAATACAGGAAGTTATTAGGGTCAGATCCTCTTAAATCTTCAGTGTAGAATGATAGGGTGTGCACTGTTTTAATAATTGAGTGAACCAGCCAGATGCAGTGGCTCACGCCTGTAATCCCAGTACTTTGGGAGGCTGAGGCAGGAGGATTGCTTGAGACCAGGAAATGGAGACCAACCTGGGCAAAATAGTGAGACACCATCTGTACAAAAAAATTAAGAAAAAAAATTAACGGGGTGTGCCTATGGTCCTAGCTATTCAGGAGGCTGGGGTGGGATGGTTGCTTGAGCCTGGGCGGAAGAGGTTGCAGTGTGCTGTGATGGTGCCACTGCACTCCAGGCTGGACAACAGGGCAAGACGCTGTCTCAGAAAAGGAACCTGTCAAAGGTCACACAGCTAGTTTTAACAAACATGCTGCTGGGGTGGGGGCTGACCTCCATGTTCAGGGATCTTTAGATCACTGAGCTTAGAAGGAGCATAGGATGATAGAAGAGAAGTGGTAGAAACAAGACAAGAAGGTACTAGAGCCAGATCCTCTTGGAACTTCAATGCAGGATGACGGTTAGACGTTGTTTTAATAATTGAATGAACCAAATTACATTGTCATCTGTTCCAAAAGGAATTAAGGAAGGAGTAGCAAGTGGAATCTTTGTGGAACAGCTAAAGGAACGGGAGGCCAGTGGCTGGGGGAATGGGGGTTTAGAGCCAGGAATGGTGGTGTTCAGTGCTTATGAATGATTATGAATGTTCACCACATAATATCAGGAGGTGGGGCTCACTTGGGCCATCTTGAAGGTGGTAGCTAGTGTCACTTCCTGATATTCGTGCCCTTAAGGAGATCCCTCTCATACTGAACAGAGATGATCTGTGTACCCAATAGGACATGGGGTAATGATGGCATACCACTTCCAAGGCCAGGCATACAAGGCATTGTGGCTTCCATCTTACCTCAATGGATCACTCGCTCTGCAGGCGGCTGACTGCCATGTTGTAAGGACGCTCAAGCAGCCCTAGGTAGAATTCCACCTGGTGAGGAATTGAGGCCTCCTGCCAACAGACATGGGAGTTAGCCACCCTGGAAATGGATTCTCCAACCCCAGTTGAGCCTTCAGGTGACTGCAGCCCCACTGACATCATAACTGCAGCCTCATGAGAAAGCCTTGGACTTATATTACTCCAAATTCCTTCTCTCAAATTCCTGACCTGGAGAAATTGTGTGAGACAGTAAATGTTGTTTGTTTAAGCCACTACATTTTGGGCTTAAAAGTTAGCCCAAGGTAATTTTTTATATAATGCAGATGAAATAAATAGCTACTGCAATAACCAAAGTGACTCATTCTTTGGCCTCTGTCTAGACAATAATGTTTCTTTCAGAATGGAAAAAAATGCATGGGTTATTGGTAGTTGAACTGTAAGCTTAAGAAATATTTCATTCCAGCAAGGAGTAGAAGAAGCTCGCGGAATAATTCCTGCATGCTGACACTCTTGATACTGTACTCTGCACTTCTTTAATGCATGGTTTCTCACCCTGGGCTGCCGGCTGCCTCACACAGATGTGGCTGTGCACTTTGGGTGAAGGGGACCTTCAAGGGCCAAAGGAAGCCATCCACGGAGAAAAGATAACATATAATGCTGGATAGAGATGATATAGCAAATAAATTCCTTTCATTTCCGGAACTGCAGGTGCATTCCCACCAGATCCCTTAGCGCACCTGCGTGGCCGGCACCCTCACTGACCCATGAGCTCCTTGGGGGTAGGGGCGAGCCTCATTTTCTCTATGGCTGTGTTGTTTAATCTTGGGTAGTGCATGACCGTGGACTCAACCAGACCCTGGTGATGGACGATACAGTGGTCCCCGGTTGTTTTGCTGTTACGAAGAATGCTTCCAAGAATGTCTACTAAAAAGTTTTGTCTAGGGTATCACACCGTAAAATCCTGTTAATAGACATCTACGTAGGGTGCTCTAGTTCCTCACTTTTTGAAGCTGGGGAGATACCCCTTATGGTAGGAGACGCAGGGGTCGTAAGGGGAGGGCAGCAGGAAGATACACACCTCCTCGAGAGGAGGACAATCTTGCCTTGAGGCAGGGGGATGGCAGAGGGGCTTCCTGGAGTTCCTTCCTCATTGCCAGCCCCCAACTCTGGGTCACGTTTTAAGTAAACAAAGGCTGTTAGGAGGGGGTGGAGCCAGGTGGAAGGGCTCATGCGGCTTGGGCAGGACGGCCAGCCCCACACCGTTGCCAATCCTGGCTCTGGGGGGTGTGCCGCGGGTCCCAGGTGGGAGCCCTCCTCTTCGTCCTCTGCTTCCGGTCTTTCCCTCTGCAGTGCCCCCGAGCGGCCTGATGGTGTCACCAGAGCGCACTTCTTCCTGGAAGCGGCCTGGGCCCTAGAGAAGCGGCCACGGAAGACCTGCGTGGACGGGGCGCCCAGGGCACCTGGAGAGGAATCGGAGGCAAGGACACGACGGGGGTGTTCTGAGCCGAGAACACAGGAAGGAGTTCTGGCCCAGGGTCACGAGACGTCCTTGTCCCCTTTTTTCTCTGTCGGGTTGAGTTTTGAGAAGCCATTCATTGTTAGGAGCGAGAAACGAGACTGAGGCCAAATGTGTCACAGTTTGGGGCTGAGTGTTCTCTCTCCCCCCTTCCTCCCTCCCACTCTGCCTGTGCTCACCCCCCTTTCAGAATGCGCCTTTGGCCCAGCAATCTGGCCTCCCCAGTCTTCTTCTGAGTGCTGGTGGGCACCGCTGGAGGAGTAGGAAGAGGACTCGGGCAGGCGCCAGCACGGAGCAGTCTGCGCAAGTGTGACTCTGAGGCGCACAGCGTGCGCTCGGGGACAGCCGCAGCCACACGGGCCACGGCGGGCAGTTGCTGCCCCTCCCTGCCCAGCAATTAAGCCGAGCCTGTAACTACGGCGTGGGCCGGTGCTGTCTGGGGTTTTCTTCCTGGGCAGGTTGTGTGCTCAGGGCCCCCGGGGAATCTGGGATAAGACGCTGGGGGCGCTGCCGTGGGAAAGGCCAAGGGACACCGTCTGGATGGGTTCCCCGAGACCACGTGCTCTAAGCCCCGAATCTGATCCCAGGCAGGGTGCCCCGCCTCTCCCAGCTCCGTCTCTGCTCCCCACCGGACCCGCTGTCTCCAGCAGACCTGGAGGTGAGCCCAGCCCCTGGCCGCGGAACTGGGAGAGAAAGGCCTTCCTGGGGCCGGGGAGGAGCTGGAACCAGGCAAGGCCCCAGTCAGAGGCGCTGCACAGGCGCTGGCCTCCTTCCGCTGCCTTTGTGTGGCTCCGATGGGAATGGTGTCCTGGGAGAGCCTCGAGTGCGTTTTCAGACTGAGTGACAGGGAGGAGGAGGGAGAATGGGAGAATGAGGAGGGAGAAGAGGAGGGATGGGAAACAAAAAGGAGGAAAGGCAGCTTTGGGCAGCGTGGGCGGAGGCAGAGGCAGTGCAGCTCCATGCGAGATGACCTTCTGGAAACCATAATACACAGCGTAAAAACGCCTCAGCGCAGTGGCAATGGGAGGGAAGGAGCCATCCCTGGGACCCGCCACAGGGAGGCCTGCAGGGGTCTCAGTGGCCAGAGCTCAACTGGAGAGCCCCTTCCTGAGAAGCCAGGCCTCTCTCTCTGGCTAGGGAAGAAGAAAAGACTCTCCGTGATGGTCGCTGGGGCAGACACATTTGCAGCCCACGCAGTCCCCAACCCACACTGGTCTGCCCTGCCCTGCCTGCACTAGGCTCCCCATCCGCCCTTGCAGCCCGCCCAGAGATGTGGCACAGGCGACGGGGCAGCCAGCGGGAGCGGTCCTTCTGTGTTCTTCGGCTGGAAAGATCTGTGGAGCTGCTTGGAGTGCGCTCAGAGAAGAGGATTTGTTCCCTTAATTGATAATATCAGAAAGGTCATCTTTACATTATGAGGGGGATGGGAATTGTGTGTGTGCAAAGGGTGGGGAAAAAATCAGAAAAATAAATGACATCCAGCTGTCTGTGTTTTCATCTCCAAAAGGGGCAGGGAAGATGATGAACCCAGGGAGACTGAGAAGCGGGAAGTGGAAGAAATGAAGGGGAGATGATGGAGGGGGAGCGAGAGAGGCAGAGCAAGAGAAGAGAGGGAGGGAGGAAAGACAGGCCAAGGGGAGGGGGGCCCAGGGCGGGAAATAGGCAGGATGGAGGGGAGAGGTGAGCAGGTGGACTGTTCGCGTTGCAAAAGCCCATCCTGCCTCCTGGGACATGAGGGGTCCTTTCTCAAATACTACCAAAGTGAACTGCACATAGGATCGTGTCCCTCTCCCTCATTAGACAGTTCCATGGATTTCCCATTGACCTCAGGAGTCCAACAACACAGTTCCTCCACATGGTTCACCCAACCCTGGGTGGTCCAGCCCACCTGGACCTACTCCTGCATTTGCCTGACTAAGTTCTTCCTCCAGAAAGCCTTACCAGATTCCTAAGAACATCCTCTATGTCCTGACACGGCTGGCCTTCCCGTCTGAGACATCTCGCTGTGCTGTAAGTGCTTGTTGAGATATCTGCCTCTCCCAGGAGACTCCGTGCTGCCGGAGGGTGGGGACCCATCTTAGTCACCATTGCATGCAGGTACAGAGTCACCTTGCACGATATTAGTCCATTTTTTCGTTGCTACAAAGGAACACCTGAGGTTGGGTAGTTTATAAGGAAGAGAGGTTTATTTGCTCATGGTTCTGCAGGCTGTACAAGAAGCATGGTGTCTGCATCTACTTCTGGTGAGGGCCTCTGGGAGCTTTTACTCATGGTGGAAGGTGAAGGGGGAGCAGGCGTGTCACATGGAGAGAGGAAGCAAGAGAGAGAAAGCAGGTCCTAATTTCTTTAACAACCAGATGGCGTGTGAGCTAACAGAGTGAGTGAGAACTCACTTATCACTAAGGAGATGGTACCAAGCCAAGTGTGAAGGATCCACCCCCATGACTCAGACACCTCTCACCACACTCCACTCCAATATTGGGGATCACATTTCGATATGGTTTCAACATCCAAACCACAGCAGTGTCTATCTGGGCCTAGTGTGTAGGATATTTGTGGAATTGTGTGGAGCCATTTAATCTCTTTTAGTAGTGTCCCCACAAAAGGGTGTTCTTCCTTCTTATATTTAGGGAAAAGACCTTGAGGAACAGCACATCTAGTTCCTGATGGAGGTTTCAGTGCGGGGAGGGGATAAACCAGCCTCAGTTTCCCTTAGGCCATATTTTGGATGGAAAAGTAAAGTACCCACAGGAGAGGTTCCCTGTGCCCCAGGGCATCAGCAATGGGAGAATCCAAGGGCCTCCCTCTTCTCTTCTGCTGACCTCACTCCTGACCCTGGGTGGTACCGGAGGGCGGGCAGCTGCACATAGGGATAAGCCTGTCATGCAACCATCACAGAGAGGGCCCTCCTCCACTGAGGCTGACCCGGACCCTTCTCCTGGGCTGGGCACATGTCACCTCAAACAATTTGATGCTTCTTGATGTCTTTGACGAAAAAGGCAACAGCCAGTGACTTGAGGACATTGTTTTCAGCTGGCCCCCTGACTGGGAATGGCATGGCATCAGTGGGTAGGGGACTGATGAATAGCAGGGGTAACCCAGTTTCCCTCCACATGAGAAGGTGGGAAGGCCGGTGCGGTGGCTTATGCCTGTAATCCCAGCACTTTGGGAGGCTGAGGCAGGTGGGTCACGAGGTCAGGAGTTCGAGACCAAGCCTGGCCAGGCTGGTGAAACCCAGTCTCTACTAAAGATACAAAAAAATTACCTGGGTGTGGTTGCATGCGCCTGCAATCCCAGCTACTTGGCGGGCTAAGGCAGGAGAATTGCTTGAACCTGGAAGGCGGAGGTTGCAGTGAGCTGAGATCACACCATTGCACTCCAGCCTGGGTGACAGGGCGAGACTCAGTCTCAGAAAAGAAGAAAGGAGAAGGTGGGAAATTATCAGTGCAGGAATGTATGTGCAGGTGTGGGTGTGTGTATGTGCGTCTATGTAAGTTTGAGTGTGTGTATGAGTGGTGTGTGTATGCACATATGTGTGTGTATGCATAGGTGTATGGGTGTGTGTATATATATGTGTATATCTGTGTATGCATATATGTGTGTATGTGAATGTGTGTGAGTGTGTGTGTGTGTGTGTGTGTGTGTGTGAAAAATGATGACCGGGGGATGGCAAAGGAGGAATGTGGGGGTCTCAGAATTTACTGTTCTCCAGATAGAATAGGGGAATTATTTTAGTTTATTTCTGTGAATACTTTTATCCCTTTTCTTAGAATAAAATATAATCTAAAAATTGTTTTTGTGTGTATTCTTTTCCATAAATGGTACCATATGATAGCCATTTATTTCCATCAAAATGGATTTGGCAGTGGGTGAGGGAGAGATCGTCCGCCACCCTTCTGGCCATGCCAATTAAGTGGGCTTGTTGAGTGCATAGTGGCGCTCAGCTGCTTCTGCAGTATGGCTTGGAGGGCAGGGGCTCCTCTGAGAGCCCGGGCAGGGTGGCGGAGAGGAGGGTGTGGGAGATTTCAACCTCCATGTAAGTGACCATGTTTCATTGCAGAATCAGGTGGGGAAGGCAGTCTTCAGAGCATTCACTGTGTCATTCTCTGTGTCCGTCTTAGCGATTCCTTCTCCATGTTCATGGAACACCTCCTGTGGGCAGCACAGTTCCAGGCACTGGTGAGACAGTGATGTATAAAGGGGACAGCCTGCTTATTATATTTTATGTTAATATTCTAAAATTATAAAAATGTATGGATACAGTTTGGCTCTGTGTCCTCACCCAAATCTCACCTTGAAGTGTAATAGTCCCCACAGGTAGTGGGAGGGATCTGGTGGGAGGTAATTGAATCACAGGGGCAGGTTTTTCCCATGCTGTTCTCGTGATAGTGCATAAGTCTTACAAGATCTGATGGTTTTATAAAGGGGTGTTCCCCTGCACATGCTCTCTTGCCTGCCGCCATGTAAGACGTCCCCTTGCTCTTCCTTTGCCTTCCGCCATGATTGTGGGGCCTCCCCAGCCATGTGGAACTGTGAGTCCATTAAACTTCTTTCCTTTATATATTACCCAGTCTTGGGTATGTCTTTATCAGCAGGATGAGAACTGACTAATTCGTGTATTGAGTAGTATATCTTATAATAAAATATAATATTGTCTATCAGAAGCATTTGTTGATTGTTATATTTATGGTCATAATAATAATAACAGCTTTCATTAATGAACCTCTCATTATGGTCAAGGCTTTGCCTCCATCATTTGCTTTAATCCCCACAGCAGCCTTTTATGGGGATATTTAATGTCTTCATTTTACACACCTGAAAACTGAGGCTCCTGGAAATTAAGTGGCCCAGGCTGAGACTGAGGGTAGGACCAGACTTTCAATCTCACGAAGTCTAACCACCATGTTTATTATGCGTCAGAGGGTCTCAGGGTGTAAACCCTGGGCCCCCCTCTGAGCATGCTGGCATTCAGGGCCTGGCTGCTCTAAAATGCCTGGGTCCCAGGGAGGATCAGTGCACACATCAGGGAAGTCTGGTTTCATGCAAGATGCCCTGCAATTAGTCAGTCCCTGCTTTTTGATTTAATTCTTCCCCTAATGTGTGTTCATCATGTAACTCAGGAAAGATTGGTATTCAGGGAAGGAGCATCAAAGACAGTAATTAAACTGTCTCTGCTGATGCGCTCAGTCTCTGGGAACAGACCTGTTTGATTCCGCAAAGGAAATCATTGGTATTTTAACAGGAGGCAGGAAACTTTTGATTAGCGAGTGATAGATAAACAGATCGATGCCTTTTCTGGCGACATTTTCAGCTTCATTATTGTCACTGGAAAAGAGATGGGGGTGGAGGGAAGATGAGAAGAGGTCCCAGTGGGTCCTCCAGGGTCTGAAGTGGGGGAGGGGCTTGCAGGGAGCGGGGCAGTGCCAGGCTAGGCAGGGAGCCTGGGGCTGGCAGGCTTGGGGCCTTAGGAAATCAAGGCTGGGCCCCTGTCTCTGAATGGGGGTCGTAGGAGGGGAAGACTCCAAAGCCCATTCCTGCATGGCTTTAGAGCTGCCCCAGACAGGGGCCTGATGAGATTCTGCTGGCAGCTGAGCTTTTCCGTGATCGTCTAAACCTGTGTTCCCACCCCCTGCAGAATCCCCCACTTGATTGCTGCTCTCTCAAGGTCAGGGGGAGTTAAGACCAGAGATTATGCAGTGTCAGTCGCGCCTTTTTGAAATATGACTCAGTGTAATCTCTTTCCACACCAGAGGAGAGATGCCAAAATCACACTTCAATCTCTAGCTCGCAATGGGCTTATTGGGATTTTAGCAGGGCTCTGGCTAGATAAGACCGTTTCTTCTCCCAGGGTACCCTTTTACAAACTTTGAATAAGTGAGGACATAACTTAGCAAGAGCAGATTTCCAGGTGTCGGGGACCCTGTGCCCAGCTGACAGAGCAGGGGCCGGGCCACCCAGCACCATTGGTCCCAGCACCGGTGCAGGAAGGACAAGAGGGCTCTCGCAGTATGTGTCTCCTCGTGACAGTCACACATGCACAAAAATCCCAGCTCATCTTCATCTTTCTGACCCTCAGTGTCCTCCTGTGCAAGGTAGAAATCAGCAGTCTCGCTCTCAATGTCGTCCTGAGATTCAGCAATGACATAGGAAAAGCCTCTGATCCCTTAGTAGGTGCTAATCAATGGGAAGTCCATTCTGCTTTCCCTGGTTTTGACCCTTGTGTATTTAGATACCTCTTGGAGGGTAGGGGAAGAAATAAAAGACAGAAAGTTCCATAATGGTACGTGAGACACATAGATAGCTGGCAATTTGCCAACCCCTACCTTCCCCAAGCACATCAGAGACATCCGCCTGCAATGCAACCCTCCCCAGAGACATCGAGTCTCCGTGGTTCAGTCACTATATGTTCCATGTGTCTGCTACCTTGAATCATTGGCTAAGCTTGACTCACTGCCCCACTCCTTGGCCAGGAGAGATAGTGTTCAAATAACTGGAGAATCTCATTGGCTAAGCTTGACTCACTGCCCCACCCATTGGCAGGGCACTTGATTGGCAAAAGGAAAGGGGTTGGGGGGAGCCAGATGGTGAAGAGGTGCTTGCTGGTAGCAAAGGGGACAATGTGTGTTATTCAGGTGCCAAGAGTCCAGGCTTTGGGTTCCTGCTTCATCATGTGGTGCCTTGGGTTTTCCCCTAAGCTCTCTCCTTCTCTAGCTTTTCTCACTCCTCCTGCGTGTGTGCTCCCATTCTGCCTTGAGAATCTGTGTTATGGAGAGATTTTGACTGCACGGGCCTTGGAGTCCAACAGCTCTGCTGGCTCTGGGAGCCATGAGGTCAGTGCAGGTCCCTTAGCTGAGCCTCATCTACAAAGCCCATCACCTTGTACAGCTGTTAGGACATTGAAATGAGATCATGGGTGCAACATGCTTAGTTCACTGCCCAGCACAAGGTGAGGGCTCCATAAATGCAGGTATAGCAGCATCTGTTCCTACTGACCCATTTTCCTCCTTAGGGCTTGGAGAGATACTTTCTAATCTCTTGATAGGGCATAAGTAGATACAAAGTAAAATAAGGTCCTTAGGAAAATCATCTTTCCTGAGCTCAAGTGTTGATGACCCTTGCTGTGGCCAGTTATTGTTTGCTGCCTAACATCCATCCCTCCCGCCTCCGTACTCCATTTATGGTAAGACCAATGAGTGGTTTTCCACAGTCCTCCACTTGGTAAGACTGTCAATCAAGTGCTCTGCCAATGGGTGGGGCAGGGAGTCAAGCTTAGCCAGTGAGATTCTCCTATTGTTTCAGTGTTCTTTCTTCTGGCCAGTGGTAGGACCATGAATGAATCTTAGCCAATGAGATTCTCCTATTGTTGGAACCTGTCTGTCCTGGCCAATGGTTGCGGCAGCAAGTCAAGCTCAGTGAATGAGATTCTCCTATTCTTTTAACTTCTGTCTCCTGGCCAATAGGTGGGGCAGTGAGTCAAACTTAGCCAATGAGATTCTCCTATTGTTTGAGCCTCTCTCTTCTGGCCGGTGGGTGGGTACCTGATCAGAGTTCAGCCATTAAGATCTACTGTCTCAAGATGAAAAGTGAATGGTTGGAGTTTGGTTCCAATCTCAGCAGACTTTGTAGAGGCTCTTGCTCCCCAGGTCCCTCACAGTTGTCCCTTTTGAGCCTAGCACTTTGGCTGATTCTGAGAGCTACCCCACACCTTTCAAGAGAGGTCCCCTCTGTGCTTAGGCCAGCCAGGGTTGGTTTCTGTTGCTTGTCTCCAAAGAGCCCTGACAGGCCCAGTCTGTCTCCCTCAGGTGTTAAAAGAGGGAGATGGAATCAAGGGCAAGGGAGCACTCCTTGGGTTATGAGGGAGCACTCCTTGGGTTATCCGTGATGAGGGGAGGAAGAACAATCCCCTGCCTTCCTCTTCCTCCCCTCAGCCACCCTCTTCTCCCTAATTCTACCATCATGGGCTGACCCGTAGGAAGTCATCATAGAAAGAGGGTCAGGAACATTGTGTGAGCAACCTCAGGCCCCTGCAAAGCTCTGCCAAGGAGGTCCTTAGCTTTGCCCTCTTAACGAATCCCCATCCGTTACTCAGGCTCTGGTGTTAAGATTTATCTTGGATCTCCTCCTGCCTTCGCTTGCATTTTGTTATTGTTTTGTTCTCTCTCTTATCTCCCAGTAGCTATTTCCCAAGATTCACTGAATTCAGATGTTGGCAACTTCCTGGCAGGAGCTGCCTCTGATTTCTGGTTAGAGGAGGGGAGCTGCCATGGCCAAGGGGACTTGCTGCAATTTTCCTTTTCTCCCTAAATTCTCCCAAACCCTCAGGGGCAAGCAGACTGTATGTAGGTGGGTAGGGCCTCCCACTCATTTTCCCTTTGGTCTCTGAAGGCTTCCAGATCCTCATGGCATCCAGGCCTACTCAGGGCAGCTGCATTAGCCCTGACCCTGGCTCAGAGTAAGGCTTGGGGGTGAGAGGGGGCTGGTTTCCCTTCTGATTGCCTATTGACCCCTGAATCATTAGTGGCTTGGAATCAAATGTTCCTGACCGGCCGGCTCTGGTGGGCACATAGCCATGAGATCAGTCAGGCCTGCCTGATATATCTGTGGCCCAGCTCATTCAAAATCAATGCCATGTTCCTCTCAAATAGAGGCTCCTTGGGAGGATGCATTGATTTCTGGGCCATAAAGAATCGAGTGCTTCCAAACTGCAATGCTGAAATTCCCATTGTTTTTTCGGCTCCTGCCGGAGACCAGATGCAATATTTCTCCCCACTTCTTTGGGGAGTGCTCCAATGTTTTTAGAATATGGTGCTGGCTAATGCTAGGCCACCCCATGAAGGAGAGGGAGAAGGCCATGATTCTCTCATCCCCCACACGTGGGACAGGCTGGCTTCCTAAACACCCTTCAACCCTATTTCAGAATTACTATTAGAAGCATTGGTGGTTCAGTGGTAGAATTCTCACCTCCAATGCAGAATTACTATTATAATGTTTTTTTCTCCTTCCCTCTGTTTTGCAAACCATTTTCAAGTCCCCAAACCCAAATCAAGTAGACCCAAATCAAATAGCAAGGAAGGAAATACCCTGGCTTAGGTAACTTGGAATTCTGGCTTTAGGAGCAGCTACATCCAGGAGCTAACACAATGTCATTGGCCAATGGGTAGAGCAGCAAGTCAATCTTA